ATTCAGCTGCCTTCTGATTGAGTTTCCAGGCAGACTGAAGGTGGTGTAATGAAGGCTTATAAACTGCTCAAGCTTCTTGCTTGTTGCCCGTATATACTGCTGTGAAATTCCTAATAGCTTTTCCAAACTTCATTAATCCCTCATATAAGACCTCTTCACGTATTGAAAAACACTGCTCGTTAACTCAGAATCATTTACAAGGATAATGACATGCTTGTGAAAAAGCATACTGTGCTTGTGGCTCAGAATTATACAGAATATGCATAGGTGAGGAAACAGCTTTGAGATGGAAAGGCTTTGAATGAGCTAACTGTCTGAAAAGGAATTTGACTCTGCCTCCCCCCAGAATTGTTCTGTTTTTTTGTTTTGGGGGTTTTTCATTAGGTGGGTTTTTTTGTTTTTTTTAATCAATGAATTCAATAGCAGCAGAAAAACAGGCCACCTGCTTTTGTGTATTTGGTTCCTGAACAACCCTGATACAGAACTTTTCTTAACATCTTCTACTGCTACAACTTTACATACGTATCAATTTTGACATAAGGGTTGCATGTAAAATGTGCTAATGTCAGAAATCTGAGCAGTTCTTGATGCCACGTATGGTTCTGTTGCAGTAGAAATTTAAAATATCTAACAATCTTCCTTTTTCAACTGTAGAACTACATGAGAAAATATATGATGGTGAAAAAGTAATCTACTGGGAAGTGAAGTACCCTTTTCCTCTCTCAAACAGAGATGTATCCTTTCAAGCTTTTTTTGTTCCTCTTGCAGTTTTTGTCACCTGGTCATCCAGGGATCCCAACAGTATACTGATTGTACTGCTCTGCTGCACTTGATCTAAGATCTTGCAGTCCTCATGTTACATGGAATATGTATAGCATGAAGAAGAGCGTGGGTGCCTCTTCCCACACACAACTAAAGCTCACATAGCTGAATTATTACTCTGCAGGATTGAATCCTATAGAAGCATAAGAAATAATTTGAAGGGGCTGGTATTTGTAATGGAATTCACTTGTCAATTCATCATATGTCAAACTGACACTGTTTTGACATGCCTTCTCAACTTGGAATACAGTATGTCTATATTCGTGAATGTCGAGAGATGGATGTTGATGGGCGGAAGATCTGGGTTGTGTTAGCTCAAAGTGTGTCTGTTCCTCAGTGCCCTGAAAAGCCTGGTATTGTCAGAGTTAAAAGCTATAAACAAAGTCTGGCAATTGAAAGTGATGGCAAGACTGGATCTAAAGGTAAGAGGTCAAGAAAGTGTGATCACAAGTCATGTAGAAATGGAAATTTTAAGCTAAAACCAGTTCCTATAAAGTGGATGTACTGAGCACTAGGAGTACTTAAAAATAAGTGGAACTTTTGGAAATGTCCAGTGCAGCGTGCTACTGTTAAGAATCTTTTAACAGTTGGGCTGGGTAGTTAAGAATAGACTACTGACCACATCATTCTGCACTCTCATCCCACCCCCACTCCCTCATCCCACACTTATTTTCCTGCCAGCCAGTTCAGTTGGGTAGAGTCTGATGCTAGTTGCAATTTGGTTAACTCAGCAATGACTTAAATATCATGCTTGACAGATGTATAGATTAAAGGGTTTGCCTAGAGATTGACTCCTGTCTGAGATTAGTCCTTTAAAGACAACCTTATTTTATAAGACAGGCTGCCTAAAATAGTTTGCAATAGTCTAAATTAATATTATGGTGCTCTCAGCTTCCCAGAGGTTAACTGGGAATGGCTATACTTATTTCACATTCCACTTCAGTACAAGTTGACTTTTTTGTGAAGAATTCAGAGCAGAACTGTTGTACTTGGTGCTTCAGTCGTGCACACTGACAGCTTCTGTCATACGGTGTTAGAGCTAATACTCAGACTATGGCTGGATAATGTTGTAGTAACTTCTCTTTCATCTCTAGTCTATATGTACTATTTTGATAATCCTGGTGGCATGATTCCATCATGGCTGGTCAACTGGGCTGCCAAGGTAAGTAAAGGTTGACAGCACAATTGTCTTTGGCTAATCTGTTTCAAACAATGTATTAACTGTATCCATACCTGTCTTCTGCATGTTGGGTAGCATTAATTTTTTCTGAAACGGATGTATTGACCTTTCTAGCTCTTATGCAGTCCCATTTTTAGAATCTTGCTATTGTCTGCTTACATGGCAGTTGTCTTAATTTTTAATTTTTTTTTAAATTCCTGTCAAATTCCTTTTCTTAATCAACCAGCTGGGTAAATTTCTGCAACAAAAACAACAAATCCATGTTCCAGAGCATATGTGAATAGCCTTAACACAAGCAAACTTCAATAGTGCAGTCTGTTTACAAAGTATTAAGAGAATGGTCTGCTGCTTTGTACCAGATCTTGGAATTGTCCTGTATTTGTTTGAAGGCCTCAATCTATATAGTGGGAATTCTCATCTTGCTTATAGTTTTTCTTGATAACATTATGCAAGAATGACTTTTCCACTTTTCTCTTTACAGAGTGGTGTGCCTACTTTCTTGAAGGATATGCAAAAAGCTTGCCGTAATTATTCTAAGAATATGTAGGTCAAAGTTGATCTTAGTTGTTTAACTCATAGAGCTCTGCACTTACAGGAGTGACTACTGTATATTACACTGGATAAAATCTACCTCTAATATTGGAAAGATTTTTATTTTACTTGGTTTATGCCTTGAATTTTATTAGATCTTTGTTTCCATCTCCAACTGAAGAGCTACCCACTGACAAGGTAATACCAACATCAGCTGCATCCTCTAGAAAGTACTTAAGTTTAGCCTTGTCCCCCATGCTTTGCTTATGCTGATTGTAATGTGTCAGCTAGAGGAATTCCATTGATTACATCCTTGAACAACAAACAATGATCTTGCTAGGAAAAACGTCTGAACTTGGACTGAAAATTCTCTGCATGTTATTATGCCTGGATCTGCCTTTGTGGCCTTGCAGGGTGGCTTCCTACTGAAATTGAATAATGGAACTTGCATTGCTTAGGAGGAAACACTTTTGCTACCCAAGTTTGTAATTGTAAACTGTCTGCCTGCTACAAACCTAAAAATGCTGAGGGCATATAGGTAAATTACGAGAAGTCTGCAGTAAGAACCGGAACTCTGTGTTACTAAGCTTCCTTGTGATAGCTTTAAGTCCAGATATAAAAGGACTTGTGCCTAAAGCCTTGCATTCACATCTCAATATCCCTAAACCAGTAGCTCTGTCCAGCTAGTAAAAAAGGAGGAGTTGGCTTCCATGTCTGATTTAAGGGTAGCAAGTTATATCTTCAGAGTCAGTAGCTTTATCTATAAAGCAGCTTGGATACCAACTTTAAACTGGAAGTAATTTTAAAGGGCATGCCTGCAACTAAATGTGAATGAACTTGATGTGAAACTTTGGCTTGCTTGCATTTTTAAATTTCATGCTGATGTAAAGAGTGAAACTGTAATTTTGGATGGTAATCCACTAAAAGTACAACTGAGCAGGAAATTAAATTTCCATCACCTTTGTGGGGTGGGGGGGAGTGGGGAGGGTGGACCGCATAAAAGGTGAGAGGTCCTCAATCTCAGGGATTTAAAATATTCTGCATCATTACTAAATCTGATCCTGTTACTGAACAAATCTTGTAATGGGGTAGCTTTGTCTTGTTAAAAAAGAAATGATTGAAGTGATTGCCTTTATACTTTGTGTAAATATTTGTTTCCAATAAATCATTATTCTATCCATGCAGTGCTCTTGTTCCATCTCTCACATTTAAGAGTGGCCATGCTGGGCAGGTCACAAATGACACGTTGATATCATGGGCTGTTTTATTTTTAAAGGCTTTTGAAAGAGTAAGTTGGATTCATGAGAAATAAGTAGGATTCCATGTGTTCTGAAGAGCTTGCTGCCAGCAGTTTAGGCATTTTTCAAGTGTCTGACTTGGAGACCATTACTGAGTTGAATATTACAGTGCTAGACAACTTTGAATCCATTTTAAATTTAGCTGTCACATGTGTTTTTTTCCAGCAGATAAAGAACAGATATCGAGAGAGAATAGTTCTGAAGCATAATTCTCTTTAACTTTCCATGATTTTTGTACACATGCACTTACTGGAACTGGAGCCAAATTTTTATTTCTGTGTACTGAAAATGAATTGCCTCTATCATACCAAGAATATGATGGTGTTTTGCCTGAGTATATCAATTCTCAAATTTCTTTTTTGGCAGTGTTTAAAAAAAACTACCTTGAGAATTCAGAAACCATTTTAGCAGTGTGCTAAGTATGTAGGAATTCAAATGTCATAAGCAATCACAAGAATACACAAAAGAATTGCTTTTGAACAACAGGATGTGGATACAAGTTATGTCCTGAAGCAAAGCAGCAAAGGTGGGACTAGGTAGATTGTTCAGTAAAGAAACTAGAAAAGCAACAAGCTATTCTAGACTAGGTATAACAGAATTTAAAAAGAGGACTAGCTGAGGATGAATCTTCCTGGAACAATGATGCAAACTAATTGATTTCCAATTCCTTCTGATCAAAACCGACCTCTGTACCACAGTAGTACAAAACCTATCTGTAATTGTAAACCTACCTTAAAACTTAGAGTTTCAAGGTTTATAAGAAATGTGTACCTAGTGAGCTGAGTATGTGCAGAGATGAATCATGTACAGATGAGGTAATTTTTTTCATCCTTTTTCTCGAACCAATCTGTAATTTTGTTTAGTCTTTAATTAAATGAAAGCAGGAGAAAGAGGGAAAGCATTTTATATTCATAAATTCATGGTTGCATCTTTGTCATTACAGTTATTTGTCATCAAGACATAGTTTACAGTTGTCTGCACTGGACTGAAACAGTTAAGACTTGAGCATTCAAGAGGCTGAAGGGCTCCATTGTCAATCTTGCTGAAAACTTGATTTCCTACAGACCCCACACTGGGACTACAGAATACATGGCTTTTGCTCACATATCCTTATTAAAACCATTGCACAGGCAGTTTCTTGTGCTGTACACAACTTTCCAGATTAAAATGCATTTGATTAAACAGTAGCTACGGAAAACAGCTTTTCCTCTATTTGCAAGCAACTAACCAATGATGTGAGATGAATGCAACATCAGATCTGTTAAATTTAGGTCCCCATGAGCTTTCATAGTGACATAAATGTGCCGTGACTCTTCAGTTTGTTTAAGTGTGTGTTACTACACCTATCTTGTATTACTAGGGAAGAAAAAGCAGTTCCACCTTTGTGTGATGTGGCTTCTTGTCTAAATGGGAGATTACAATCAGAAAGAAAGTGTTGGTATTTTTCAGTCTTTGGATGTAAAGATATTCATAAAGCATTCTAGAGCTTTATTCATTACTGATTAAATATTTATCTCGTATAAATTATACATGCATTGTGAATTTTCTGGATAGCTTGAACAGAAATTTACCTGCTGTGAAAGTTGTAAGTCATTGAGTTCTGGTGCACAGGGTTAAAAAAATGGAACCCCCTGTCCCATGCTTTTTGATAATGTAGCACCTGAAAGTTAGCTTTGTGTTTTCACCAGCTCGCCTAAAAATGGATCTCAAAGTTTGTTCTTTTACAGTGATCTGTTGTAAACATAGGGTTGTTTGAATAAAAAGAATGAAGCATGTTGGTTAGGTGATGATTGAGCTTTTCATCTTCTATATCCCACCCCCATTAACAGATCAGCAGGTATCACACTCTGCAGATTAATAGGGACTAATGAAGTTTTCCTAGTAGACAAATAGAACTAGAAAAGTGCTGTAGTTTCTGGCAATAAACAGGCTTCTGATCCAAAGTGCAATAATCAGACTTTCCATAAATCACAGTGAGCTTTGGATCTATTCTCATATAGAACTTTTGTTTTAAAATTACCAGCTCTTACAAAAACATATTTTTGCATGTTCTTCACATAAAGAAGTGGTTCTTTTGGGGGATGACTGGTCACCCATCCCCTGTTTCCATAAGGAGTGATGTTGTAACAAAGTGAATATAAACCATTCTTCCATATTGTGTTCTAGTCATTCAAATCCATTCTTTCCATGTGATGTCTGTGTAAAATTATTGTATTTGAGTTGGAAGGTAAAGTAAAGGAAAGATTCTGAGTAACCCAAAGTCAACATAGTGAATGATGTCAGATATGCAATCACTGTAGTGCTGCCTCTCAGAAGATGATGTGTAAAGGGAAACACAAGTTGTCTTTGCTCAGGAAACATCTGGTTGATACTTCATTTCTCAAGCAGGTCATTGGCTGTTTTTATAATTTAGTGGAACAAAAATGTGGGAAGATAGGGGGATAGACTTCTGATATTAATGCACACTAATAGACGATACATCTTCCCACCAACGCTTTTGCTTTCCATTGTTAGTTTTCTATGTATAAAGAATATTTTCAAATGGGGTCTAATGGTATTTAAATTTCACTTAGCTGAGAGTAGTCTCTCCCTGAGCATGGATTTGTCTTCCTCTAGACAGGAGGATCATTCATCACCAAACTTACTGCCCCTCTGTAGCCTTCTGATCAGAGGAGGCTATTAGACTTTAAGACAGAAAACTTCATTTTTCACTTATCTCTTCAAGCTTAAAAAACACTGAAGACTTACATACAAAACCAGAAAGGAAGACTTACAACAGGAGGTAGGTTGTTCTAAATCTAGATGGACTATATGGAAGATAAATGCTTTTTGAGGAGCAATAACAGGAACAAATCTCTATAGCAAGATGAGTTTTGCTCAATTTTTTTCATACCACTCCGGTTTATAACTGCAGACTTAGGAGGAATCCTGAACAATAAGGTAAATAAAGCTGGTGTTTAGGCATCCTACTAATTCTTCTCTGCAGCTGCCAATTAACATATTAATTGGGATTATATATGAACACATATGCACACATAAAGAGAATGTCTTCTTTCTCTGTTAGTTCAGTATTCCCTGTTCTTTGAGAACTTGACCATAAATGATTATTCTCATCTGGAATCTGAATTACAAAAGTATCCTGGAGTCCTGCTGTGAGACAGGAACATTTTAAATGGGAACAACTCTCCACTGGAAACCTTCATTTCCAAAGGTTTCCAAAGAAAGAGCTGCATCCTGTGAATAAGTGTTTCAGTGGAACATGCCATAATAAGCAATTATGTTGAAGGCCCTTGATTATAGGTATTAATTTTAGCTTTGTGAAAAATATCCTGCATCCCAGCTGTGCAACTAGTTAAACTGAATGCTGTTCCTACAGTTTAAGCATGAGTACCTGTAACATTAAGATTTAAGTTAGTTTACCTTTGTCCTCACTAGATTTCATGCAGATTTTTAGATTTTTCTGAGGCCTATTTCATCACTGGAGGCAGAAGAGGTTCTATTATGGGCTTTGCGACAATGGAAGAGTGAGGTTTTGCCTCAAGCTTAGTTCTCTTATTATTCTTCATCTATGAAGAAACTCCTGAGAATGAATCATTTTAATAGATTGTGTTGTTCCTAGAATGACAGGTTTTGGATACCTGCTGTTAAGTTACAAGGCTCACTTCATTTCTGCCTAAGTATATCTTGAAAGGTTTTAAGTCTTTCCCTACCTCACCTAGAGTTGTGGGGTTTTTGGCTTTTAATATTCCTAGTGCATATACGTGTCTTCCAAAGCATGATGGAGATTGTGTGTAATTGGCTGTAAATGGATGTTTCATATTCAGCTGCAACTTGGATTTATGGTTTAAGAGTGGGTTTTAAACATTTTTATTAAGACCAGGCTGCCGCTATGCATTTTAAAAGTTAATGCGTTTTCTCAGCATGGAAGTCATATAATTGATTTGTACATTTGAGTGGAGAGCATGATTCCACAAGAAGCCAAAATTGCCCGGCCAACCCTTTTACCCTGTGAAAGGCTCATATGATGCTGTTCACCTATTCAAATAAAAACAAACAGTAGGAACATTTCTTCAGCAGGAAATTACTTTGACACTAAAAGGGTCTATTGTCTCAGAGTGTGAGGTGGGTATGTGAAAGAGTACATTGCCTTCCACTGATTTTTTTCTTGTAACATGGGAATAAACTGACCCTTGATAACACTTAAGGCGTGGCTCTAGGAACCATGAAGTTGAGAGCATTATCACTGAATAATGAGCTTGATTAATTCACTACAATGACAGGCAGGCATATCAGTAATTTAGAAAAAGGACTCTAAAATCTGTTTGGAACAAGTTAGAGAATAAGAATAAACAAGTGATCTGAGGACCCTTTAAGGTCTTTCAGCAAAGACAGGCCTAGAAATACCTGCCAGATCACCAAATGCAATTACAGGCACCACATAATATAAATCATTCCCTTTCATAAAGTAAGTTACACAAGTCTGTGTTTAACCCATCCTCTCTTTCAGACTAGTAATTCTGTATGGTTAATATATTTGCTAGTAAATTTATTGTGAAAATATGACTTGACTAGAGAACT